TATGGGGATATTACAGTGTATGCAGAAAACTGAGCATCTGGGAAAAAGCCCTGGTCAAGAGGGAGAGTGACATGGGTCTCTATCCAAGCGGTGACCGTTGATAAGCTGGGAGCTTAGAGTGGTGCCATTGGTGGACCACGGAGGGGAAATACAGGAACACTTGCCCTGAACAGCAACGGGGGGGGGTCCTGCTATTGAAGCTTGCAGCTCTCCCACTGTTATTACAACTGGAAAAGCTGTCTTAGGTGATAAATCCTGCTAATATCAAATTAATGTCCCAGGAAAGAGATTCCTGTTAGTGAGTAAACCCTTATGAGGCCTTTTAAAAATATTCTTACCATGGGATGGGAGAATATTGAACATGCCTGGAGAGGAGGGTGAATGCAAGAGATGGCTGTCAGGTGAGATTAAAACAAAAAACAAAAACCCTCCAGCCTTATTTTAACATAACTTGGACCTGCACCTTGACTGGAGACTGATGGGTGCAAGTGGCACATTTTTCCCACTTAACTATTAAAGTGGTTCTACTTTTGACTCTTGCTGCTAGTGAGGACATTTTGGACATTATGTGAACACACACTCTCCAATGCAGTTAGACACTCACCATCCACATTGAGATGGAGACTGAAGATCAGAGTGCACAATTTAGTCATGATTCAGAGACTGTCCTTGAGCAACAATAAAGTAATTGGAGGTTGTAGTGATAGGGTTAGAAGATCAAAGAATGAATAATGCCGTGGCCATCCCAGGGCTATTAATCATTCCAGTCAGTTATGTTTCAACTTTCTGATAACGCTAATAATCATACAGTACTTCTAGATCACAGGAAAATAGGAATACATGTGTTAGTGATCCTGGGTTCTGGATGGCCCTGGAGCAGAAGTTATATTTTGTTTTCTTGGTTGCAAACAGATCTATGTTGGGGAACCCCTATTTGTTGAATATCTGCCCTACTTTGTTTTTCAACTAAATACCTCCTGAGGTGATCCACCACCATGTTCTGCACGTCAAGCGACATGAAGCTTTGATAGTGCTGTCGTTCCAAATGCAGGAGTCCCAAACTTGTGCCCAGAGGTTCAATTTTCTTGGTTGCAAGGTAGTCCTCAGACCCCTCCCCCACCACCAGTCCCCCTTTTGGGTATGAAAAAAATATCAGGAGTAGAAACCCCTTCCCACGTGCTGTAAAGCAATCTCTACTGCTCTGAGAGCTAGAATACACTGTATCTCAAAGCAGTACCATCTCACGAAAATGGTCCCTGAATAAGAAAGGGAAAGGTGGGTGAGGTAGGGCAAGGACTGAAATTGGATTGTGTATCCCAGTGCCATAGACTGTCTGGAACCACCAATCAATGGTTATGGAGTTCCAGACATTGAGGTACAACAGATTCCCCAAAGAAGGGGACAGTCACATTCTGGGGTGCAACCTAGAGCAGTGAAGAGTTGCCACCTCTTGGATTTACAAGTGCCTCACAATCCCTTGCCCCTCTGACTCTCCACCTGGGATGGCCACAGCCAGCAACAAACATGGACTCTAAGTTTTGGGCAGACCTGGTCCAATGCTTTGGATCCTGAAGCCTGCCTGTAACACTACTGATTTCTCTTGGCTTCCACCACCCTTGGTTAACAACTGGTATGGTGACTCCACACACTCCTCAGCCCAGTTTTCCCACAAAGTGAAAAATCCAGCCCTGCACTGGAACAATCAGAGGGATATTAAGGTTAATTGCCCTTTTAAAGGAGTCAATATTCAACAGTTTGTTACTTGAATTGGAGCTACCAAACAGTTCAGTTTAAATGCAGCACTGAATTGGTTTAGATTAAAAACAAAACAGAAGATAGGTTTTTAAGTCAATTCAAGTAGAAGGTAACTTAGAAATGGTTACCAGCAAATAAAAGTGAAAACATGTATCTACATCTAAAACTTTATCTAGCAAGTTTTGGTTCAAGACTTTATTTAAGATGGCCTTTTTCACCCCCAGTCTTCCAGCAGGATGGTGACTGAACCGCTCCTCGATCAGGCTCTCTCCCAGAGGCCCAAAGGTCTCTTCTTAGGTCAAAGAGATAAAGGGGCAGAAAACCTTAAGTTTATAGTTCAGTGAACCTGTGAAGTAGATTCTTCTGAAGGTTAACCCTCAAAGTAAAGTTTATCCAATGAGGAAGGCAACATGGAATCTGGTGGTGAACAAGGCTCCATGCTCTCTTTCGTCACACATTTGTGTTTACTCAATTGCAAATTGTTTGGTTTCCTGCCATCTCCTTCCACAGCTGTCTTGAGGACCCTATTTACTACTATATGTAATTGAGGTAAACACAGTCCTTTGTTTAGGATAGATCTGTTTAACAACTTTTGCTAAGGCAGTTCTGTCTGCTTTTGAACATGTGCTAACTGTACCACAGGGGGAAAGAAAGGGGCAGGATTCATAACTGCATATAATTTTGCTACATACATTTCCTTATTATATTGACTAGCAAGTATTTAATTTTCAAAATAACTCAAGGCATATTTTGTACAAATATTACTGCAATACTGTGTAGGGTGTGGTGCTTTCAAATCAGACAGATAGGGAAGATTAAAATGACTAGAGCTCTGCTCTTGCTGAAGCAGTCAAATTGGCTGCCTTGATGTTGGTGGAGCCTGATAGGTAAAGCCTGTTGATGCAGAAGCCTATGACTTTCTTAGTAGAAACTTATCCTGCTTTCAAGGAATCAGCTTTCCTAGGCTGGAAGCTAGGCTGTCAATGGTATTGAGGCCTATACTGCCTTCTTTTGGGGCTGAGGCATACATTCTTAGTAACCTTAATGTTGCTCTCAATTCTTTATGGCGTGTAAAGCCTCCTCAGTCTTCTTGCTGAAGAGGTGGCACCCACCAGAGGGCAGGCCCTCAACAGTGGTTAGGGCTTCCTTTGGTATATGTTGTGTGTGGAGACAGAAAGACCTCTGCATGGTAAAAATTGCCATGGATCTGAAGGCTATAGCTGCTGCATTGAGAGCTGACTGCAGTCATGTCCTGGCTACTAGCTGGCCTTCAGTGACAATAGATTTTAAACTCCTCCTCCATACACTGTTCAGTAAAGCCCAGCTAATAAAGTCATATTTCAATAATAAAGTCTGTTAGTTAGTGATTCTCATTTGGAGGCTAGATGCAGAATAAGTCTTCCTTCCAAAGGAATCAGTCCTCTTTGGCTCCTAGTCTTTTTGTAATTTGTAATGTCCCTGCTTCGACCTCTTGTTTTCTGCTCCCACCACCACAGTACCTGGAGCAGGATGACTGAAGAAATGGCATCTGGTGGCAACAATCCACTTTCTTTGAAGTCTGTGCCGGAGAAGCTTGGCATGGTCCAACAATCCTTCATTGATGGTTAAAGCTACTCACCCAGTCCCAGTTGTGTGTAATCTAATCAACAGTCTAAAGGTTTTCTTGGGCAACTTCTGCAGGAAAAATACTCCCCTGGTAAGGCTCATGTGGTGCCAGTAGGTGTACCTGGAGCCCTTATATTTGAAGGTTTCAGAGATATGATTGGCTTTGCCAGTACTGAGGCCACTGTCTGAGTGGCCTGCATAGGAAAGTCTGGTGCCAACATACAGAGTAAGTCTCTGGCTCCCATAATTGCTGGAGGCGTTGACGGTACCCAGTGGTTTCTGTGCTGGGGTCATTTGTACCTGAAGAGTAGATAGTACAGTAGGTACCTGCTTCATCAGTACCTATGCCAATGAGCCAATATAGATGGTACTGGCAAGCAATGCTGTAGTGCTCTTGAAGGTAGCTTGGTACCAAACAGCTTCTGGGGTACCATTTCAGCTGAGGTACAATGGTGGAGTCCCCAACAGGTGTGTGAGGATCCTTTCTGGATCTTGAACTACCCTTGAGCTCTGAAGAGCTGGATGTCTTGGGGCCCTTAATGCCTGGCCCAAGGACAAAAGACCAGTACCTCTTCTCCCTCTGTCAGAGGTTGAGGGCTTCAGTGAAGGAGCAGCTGAGTAGAAACAGCTGCCAGAGAACTTCTAGGAGGCAATGCACTTCACTTATCTGTCCAAGAAAGGCTTGGATTGGTGGTCAAGCATATATTCCTCTCCATGAGTAACCCCTGAGACAGGAGTCTCTTGATTTTGAAGTCTTCTTACAAAAAGATAGGAAAACTAAACATCTGTCCACAACATGGTCATCACCTAGGCAGATAAGGCATCTAGTATGCTCATTAACAGGCAGGACTTCCTTACAAGACAGACAGTTCTTAAAGCCCAGGGACTTATGCATGACTATTTGGTAGCAAGTATCACTCCAGGAACAGAAATAAAAAAAAGTCTAAAAAGGAGAACAAAGGAAACACTATAAAAGTCAAGGCTAACTACATACTAACTCACTATTCACAGAAGAAAGTGAGCATATCAGCTGCCCGTCTTGTGCTTTGAGGCACCACTGGAACTTGCAACCATGCGTTGTGAGAACAAACAGAGGGAGGTGGACAGCTGTCCCAACAGGTACTACTGACCAAAAGCCCCTAGCTTGGGTGCACTGGGTGTACATGCACTTAGAGTGAAATATATAGACATACAAGCAATCTAAGAAGAACCGGGATACTACATAAGGGTCTTTTAGATATTCTTAAAAAAAAAAAATCTAAAAAAAACAAAAAAGCAACACCCCACTCAAACAGCTATTAAACTAGTCACATTTTGTTGCCAGATAATACATGATCTGCAGATTAATTTACAATTTTAAGAAATTGTCCACTTTTGCAGATGGATATACCTGCACAGCAGGTGTAAGAGGCTATACACATTCAGCTTAATCCCATTACCAAATATAACTACACATTTGTGCAACAATTCAAATGATACCATATCAAGCAGCAGACAAACTCAAATATGGACAAGGTCTTCAATTGCTAGATCTTTCCTATAATTCTCCTGATAATTTTCACTATGGAAATAGGTCTCCAAATGCCCCATTTCCTTTTAGGATAATAAGGTCACATGAGACACAACCCTTATAAAGTTACCTTGTGTGCCAACAATCTCCATGTGAAGATGTGCAAGTCCACTGGCAGTGGACAAAGCTAGCTTTATCATTCCTTCCACAGTAACGGTATACCTGTTTAGGTAATCAAAGAGTGATCCATGCTCATGATAATCTGACACCAACCAGAGCTGAGTCCATGTACCATTGTCTGCAAAATAAGATATTAGATGTAAATAAAGTTGCCCAGCAAACCAAATTGCTTTTTTTAAACGTACCAACTATAAAAGTTGGAGTTACATTTTATAATGAGCTCCATGTAATCAGATCATTATGTTTTCTATTTTTATTCCAACAGTGCCTGAAGGCCTCCTACAAGTGTTGGAGCCTTCTGTGCTAGACACTGAACAAACAGCATAGAAGACAGTCCCTAACCCAAACAGTTTACAATCTAAAAGACAAGACAAATAGATATAGGCAAACAAAAAAGTAACTTGCCAGAAGCACAGTAAAATTTTTTTCCTCAGTTTTTTCCCTTTGTATAACACCCCCTCCCTACAGTGCCGGTGCATCCACTAGGCAAACTAGGCAGCCGCCTAGGGCGCCAAGATTTGAGGGCGCCAAAAAGCGGTGCCCAAAATGTCTGGGATGCTCACCCGCCACCTGCTAAATGTGTAACCCTCTTTGATCAGCTCCGGCCGGCTGGGAAGTGATGTCATTCCTCCTCCGGCCGCCAGGGGCGCTGCGCTGCTCCCTGCTGCTCTGTCTCTTCCCCAGGGCCCAGCCCTGCCCCCACTCCCCTGAGCTCTGCACAAAGGCCGGGGCTGCATTCACCGGCAGCAAGAAGTACAGAGACCCGGCCCCAGCCGCGCCGCCGGTGAGTGCTGGGGGGTGGTTCCTGCCGCCCCCCAAGCCAGCCCCGACTCCCCAGAGGCCTGCCCCCCCATTGAAGCCGTTCCCCCCCCCACGGAAGCCGGGCCTCCCCCTCTGCTCCCGCCTCCCCCACGGAGGCCTGGGGCACCCCCCCACACGGGGGGGGGGGGCTGCGTAGGGCCCAAGAATATCTAGGGACGGCCCTGGTACCTACCCACCCTGCCCTCAGCCAGCCCCACACCCCCTGCCCTGCCTGCAGCCAGCCCCACACCCGCACCTCCATCCAACCCCTGCAGCACCCCCATGCCCCAAGCCAGCCAGCCCCACACCCCCGTCCAGGGCCAGCTCCAGGCACCAGCTTCTCAAGCAGGTGCTTGGGGCAGCCGTTCCGGACAGGGGCGGCAGTTCCAGGTATTCGGCGGCAATTCGGCGGACGGTCCCTCACTCCGCCTGGGAGTGAAGGACCTCCAGCCGAACTGCCGCCGCAGATCGCGATTGCGGCTTTTTTTAAGATCGCGATCCCGGCTTTTTTTTTTTCTTTTTTTTTTTTGCTTTCCCCTGCCGCACCCCCGTGCCCGAAGCCAGCCAGCCCCACACCCCGTCTCCAGCCAACCCTGCATCCCCTGCCCTGCCCGAAGCCAGCCAGCCCCGCACCCCCGTGCCCAAAGCCAGCCAGCCCCACACCCCCGTGCCCGAAGCCAGCCAACCCCGCACCCCAGCTCCGCATCCCCTGCCCTGCCCAAAGCCAGCCAGCCCCCCGATCTCCAGCCAACCCCTGCTGCACCCCCGTGTCCAAAGCCAGCCAGCCCCGCATACCCTGCCCTTCCCGAAGCCAGCCAGCCCCTCACACCCATCTCCAGCCAACCCCTGCCACACACCCCTGCCCCAAGCAAGCCCCACACCCTGTCAGGTTATTCATTTATTTTCATTAAATATGTAGTCTAAATAATGAAATTAATAAATTTTCAAGCCGAATATGTATTAATTCTAATGAACAATGCCATATTATGTAGTGATCATTTTTGCAAGTTTATAATAAGCGATGCTCCGGGGGGAGGGGTGGGGATGGGAGGCGCAAGGTGGAAGTTTTGCCTAGGGTGCAAAATATCCTTGTACCGGCCCTGCCTCCCTACCTTGCCAACTTCCCCTGCGCTCAGCTGCTAGCCAAATTTCTTCAGTCCTTGCTCATCCCAGTTGTCCTCCTTCCAGTTGTAAGCAACAGTCAGCCTCATTTTGGGAGACAAATCTCCAAATTATAAAGAACAAGCAAAGATCTGCTTTCTTGGCTACTTCCTCTGCCTGCAACGAGGGAACACGTGTACAAGCCTGATTCTCATCTCAGGAGAGGCAGGTGGCTCACATGGCCCAAGTCTGCCATTATATACGGATTAGTCTTCTCCTCCCACATCCACTCCAGACAGTAACACCAGTGCAAATAACAAGATTCTGGATTCTACTGACCACTCTGTCCATTCTCAAGTTGAGATTTCCATAAAAGGGGGGGGGGGGAAAAACAGAAAAATAAACAGCAAAATATGAGTGGAAGGGAGCTGAGGGGGAAAAAAAATAAAGGCCATTCTTACAATTAACATTCCACATTCCTGGGACTTCTCTCCCCTATTCTAGAAGGGAGAAGGGTTTACAGACAATGAAGGGACAACATGTATTAGTATCAAAGGATTAAGAAATGGCATTCCCTTTTCTGAGAAGGCAAAAGCACATAGAAATTAGAACACAGAACTTGGAACCAAGCAACCTGCTTGTTTTTTTTTTTTTTTTAATCACTGCCACTGGCTTGCTGCATGACTGTGGGCTAAACAGTTCTACAAGATGGCGATAATGCACACTCACTTTTCTCAGACCTAGAGATGGCATGCACTAGGTACGTGCAAATTTGCCACAGATTTAGATCAGTGGACACCAAATACCAGGAACCTCAAAGATTAAAAAATAAACACAGAAGATACAGTATGAAGGGAATTCAGAATGTGAAACTTGAATCTTCAGTCTTTCACTGGACTTTTTCTTCTTTTGACCCAGAGAGCAGAAACATGTCAGTTGCAAGACTTCTTGTTTTTAAACCAGACAAAGCAATCCTGCCATTGAATAGGCTTCCTTAATGTTTTTAAAATAAAACAAAAAACCCACTTTGAATAGTGGGAGTCATTCAGATAACTTTATCCTTATTGTAAAACAAGCCCCTTTCTCTCCTTAAAAAGAAAAGAAAAAGAAAAACCCCTACCATTCCTCAACATATTCCTATTATGGCAACCATACTCTGCACTACCTTCCGAGTATAAATTCTTTGTGCTAAGGACTCTGTACATGACATATGTATAATATACCTGATCTTAATTCAAAAAGCAAAGTAAGAGGGAAAGAAAGGCAAGAAAAGGAAGGTCCTTAGTCTTTCAGACATGCTGATGAACAGGACCTTGAAAGGATTCAGTTTCCAAAGAACAAAACTGAAATCTCAAGGAAAGGTACCAAAGTCTACAAGATTCTTAGACTCCTCTGCGGATATTAAGGGAGGCCAGAGGTTTTTGGCTTTCTATGAGATTTTAAAAGTAGAAAATCTTCAAATTGAGAAAAAAGGAGAGAGCTGCATCTGCGTCAAACCCACCAATTTCTGCTAGCGGAAAACAGTGAAGTCAGATCTTGCTATATTCATGCCAGTATCAATGCCAACAAAGCTCTTGGTCTATGGTACCAGGGACAGTTGAGGTCCAGTCTTAAACGTTACACAAATGTTTGGTAGAAAAGATATTAGAAATAATCAGACACCATGACCCTTCAAAAGATGGCCAAGAAAGCTTCCACCAGTTCTCTAGTCCTTCACTAAAAACAGAAGACCATACTCTTGAGATGTCTATTATCTCTAAACCACGAGGAAAAATTTGCTGTAGACAAAAACTTTTGTGCAGTCTTTACACACTGTTTTAAGGAATGCAGAGGTTCATCTGTATTTTCATTAAACAGGTTGGACTTGTTGAAGAGGAGGATCCTGAATGGTGCGCCACTGCCAAAATATGTGGTGAAGCACAATGGAATCCATCTTCCACTTGTGCTCTTGAGAGAAGTGCCTGCTGACTGTATCCACAGTCACATTCTAAGCTCCTGGAAGGTAAGCGGCTGTGAGGACAATCTGATTGCATATGCACCGATTCCAAAGCTTGACAGCTTTGGTGCAGAGAGTCCCTCCTTGTCAGCAGATATAGAATATGCATGACATGTTGTCCTTCGTGACCTTTATGTGTTTGCCCTGTTCAATGGTAAAAATTGGAGACTGACCTATTGGCTGCCTTGAGTTCTAGGTGGTTGATGTACAGAGTTTCCTCTTGAGGTCCACCTGCCCTGGGCTGTGTGGGTGTCCAAATGTGCTCCCCAATCTAACAGGGATGCATCCATCGTTACAACATTCTTCAGGGAATGGTGGGGGGAAAAAAAAAAAAAAAAAAAGACTCCTGCACAGATGTATGGAAAGCAGTGCATTTAGACTACATGCTCAGCGACTAAACAGTCCTGAACCACCTCTGAAGGCAAAGTAGTCGCAGTCTTGCATGGTCTATAATGGAACCACCAGCTGCTATGTTCCAACAGCTGAAGCCAGTCCCTGACCCAAGTTTGAGGGCTGATCTGGATTGTGTTGACCATGTCAGATAGGGCCACAAATCAATGCACTGAGAGACAGACTCTTGCTGCTATTGAACTGAGCTAAGCTCCTATTAATTCTAACCTTCGTAAAGTGGTCAAGGTGGATATTTCTGAATAGCCAACTGTAGGCCCAGTTTGAGGAAGGTCTATGGCCTTGCAAGTTGCTAGTGAAGTGTTTTACTTGGAACAACTTTTCAGAAGCCAATCATCTAGGTAAGGGAATACCAGAATTCCTCTCTGTGAAGGTGTGCCTCTACTATTGATAAAACTTTCTAAGAGACCCTTGGGGCAGATGAGAAGACAAAAAGAAGCATCCTGTACTGACCGACAATAGATCATGACCCTTTTGTGAGATGGATGGATCGTTATATGGAAATATACGTCCTGAAGGTTGAGGGCTGAGAACCAATACCCTTGCTCCGGTGATGGAATTATTCCTGCAAGTGTTACCATTTCGATTTTTTGTGCCTCCACAAAGGTGCTGAATAGCCTTAAATCTAGAATGGGCCTCCAATCGCCATTATTTTGGCACCAGGAAGTATCTGGAATAAAACTCCTTCCTTCTATACTGCCGGGGAACTGGCTCTATAGCACCCAAGTATAGGAGAGAGTCTATTTCCGGTCTTAGAAGGTGCATGTGAGAGGGGTCCCTGAAGAGGGACAGGGCAAGATGGTTGGCAGGTG